CACTGCTTGCAGCGTTCCGCCCGTCAGGTACTGGCGCGCTCCGGTCTTCCGACGGGCACGTTGCCCCAGAGGCCGTCACTGGCGCCCGCGCCTGCCGGCCGACGGCCCCCAAGGGTTCGGGGCGCCCGCGCGCGACGGAAGCGCGCCGCGCCTGTGATGCAGAGAGAGAGAGAGAGACCTGCCATCTGGCAAATTCGGCGCGGGCATGCCCGCGCTCTCGCGCTCCGCCAAGCCTGGGCGCGCTTTCCGCGCGCGAGCGCGCGCTGCCGGCCGCGCGACGGCGCTCGCGCCTCAATCCTCGCGCTTGCGCTTCGGCCTGCGCGGCGGCCCTGTGCCCCGCGCTGCGTCGCGCTTGCCTTTGCCCTTCGCGTGGGCCCGCGATTCCCAGGACTTGCCCCGGCACTTGGGCTCCCAGGACTTGCCCCAGCCCTTGCCGCTCTCGGCGTGCTGGGACTGGCCCTTGCCTTTCCCCTTGGACTCCGCATGGGGGGCGCCCTTGCTGCTGCCCTTCTGCTGCCGATCGGGGAGGTTGGGGTGCCCGCGAGCCGTGCACTCGCGCTCGGCGCGTATGTACAGGCTCTGCTCTTGCTGCAGCGCGTGGCGGTTGACGTTAAAGGAGCTGGAGCCACTGGCGCGATCGGCCCACTCCCGCCTGGCCAACTCGTCATAGATTACCGCCAGGGCCGTGGACTTGTGCACCCCGCGCGCCTGCACACAACGCGCGCGGGCGGTGGCCGGCCCCGGCCGCGAGACCAGGGAAGGGAGTTCGCCTGCAGTGCGATCTGCATGACGACGTCCTTGTGCGCCATCGCGGCGGCCAGTTCAATCTGGCCCGCGAAGCTCGCGGCCAGGGCCCACCGGTCGAATGCGACCGATCAGGGCATGAGCGACAGCCCTCGCGAGGCGGCGGCGCCGCCCAGAATGCGCGCGCCGAAATAGCGCGCCTTCTTTGTTCGCGTCCGCGCCGTCCTGACCGCCGCGCTTCTCCACCGCCCAGTGCGGCAGCCAGTTCTTCAACTCGCTGTAAATGAACGGTCTCGCGATCCCCTTCGCTTGGGCCGCTTTGACCTGCGCCGCTCCGAAGCGCCGCGTGCGAACGCTGAGCGATACACCGCGCGCGCGCGGGCGCCTGGCTGTCGAGCCAGTCGCGCGACGCCGGCGACGGCCAGCAAGCAGACGGCAAATCGCTGAGGTGGACGTCGCCCAGCTTCACGCCGATGTCGACGTGCGCGGCCGCAGTCGGCTTGCGCGCGAGTGCGTCCACTAGCGCAGCGACAGGGTCATTCGACCCCCGCGCCGCCCCGTCGTCGCCGCGGGCGGCGGCTATGCGCCCCGCCTCGGCCCTGGCGGCGTTCTCTGCGGCACGCTTGACGGCGCGGTCGAGGAAGGCTACCTTCCCACCGTTGAGGCCGCCCTTGTCGAACGAACTCTCATAAATGTTGAGCCCGACTAGGTCTCGTTCAACCTGACGCGCGCTGTGCGCGACAGACGGACCGAGAAAGCGCGCGGCGCTCGCCGTGACAGAATTCGCGCGAAGTGCTGCAATGACGTCGCGGAGGCATTCCTCGTCGCGCTTTGCGTGCGCGTCGACGCCAGACAGAAAAGCTTGCAAATCCGCCGTGGGTGCGAGCGGGCGCCGCCTGTTAACGCGCATGACGCGCTCGTGCGCACTCTGTCCGCGCTCGGCTGCAGCTCGCGCACCGAAGCCGACCACGTGCACGCGGGCCTCGTTTGGCCACCTAAATGACGCACGCTAAGCGTGCACGGAAGGGGGCGTAGACGTCGAATCGCGTCGGAACAACCCCCGCTCGGAAGTGCGCTCGCGCGCCGCACGTGCGGCGTAGACGTCGAATTGCGTCTTAATCTGACCTCGTTCGGTCGGCCGCTCGCTATCCTCGTTCGGATGCGGCGTGGACGTCGAATTGCGTCTAATCGGACCTAGTTCGGTCGTTCGCTTGCTATCCTCGTTCGGATGCGGCGTAGACGTCGAATTGCGCTGACCCTCGCTGCGCCGCGCGCGCGCCCGGCTCGAGTCGGGCTGCGCGCGCGCGCGAAGCAGGGGCCTGCCTCAGTCAGCGCGCCCTTGTCGTCGCGGATTCCCGCGTCAGCAGCGTCGCGCACGGCGCGTTCGCGCTGCGGCCGCGCTGCGCCGGGGGAGTCGCAGCTAGACGGGCCGCGCGTCCTCCGCCAATTCGCGCAAGGAAGCCAGAACCTGCTCCGTCAACTCTTCTGCGGCGCCAGCGACGACGATCGCGCGCCGCCTCGAAGGGGTCCTTCCGCGCCGGGCGCGCGCAGGGTCAACTCAACATCTGCGTCGCCAGCGGCGACGCCGCTCGTGCTGGAAGCGCTGGGCCGCTCGCCTGACGACGCGCGCGTCGCCGGCCGCGCGTCGATCCGGCGACGCGCTTGCCCGGCCGGCTTCGACGGCGCGAAATGATCGAGCGGCGCTGGCGATGGCAGCGCACGCGGATACAGCGAAAAAGACGCGCTGCATTGCGCCGGCCGCTGCGAGCCCAGCCGCGCGAATCTCCCGCGCGCCGCGCGCCCTCGAATCGCTTGAACCAGGGCGGCGGGGCATGTGGTCCTGTCGGAAAGAAGGACATGTGCATCTTCTCTGCGTCTTCACCGAGTAGCATTGCGCATGCCCGGGCTCGCGATGGCAAGTGGGGCTGCGCGAGGACAAGTCGTCGGCGAGTTAAACGTCCGCCGAGCGCGCGACGCGCGCGAGACGCGCGTCGGCAACCTCGGCCGCGCCAAACTCCCGCGTCGACGCCCGCGTCGGAAGCGCATTCGCCCATCGCGCTTCTTGAGGAAGCTGCGGCGCACCACGCCAGAACTGCGAGCCCTACGCGCGGCGAGCGCGCAAATTCGCTGAGCACCCCGCTCGCCCGTAGCTGGGTGGCGTCTGCAACCCGAGCGCGGGGCGCGCGCCCCAGGCACACACAAACCTGTGGTACCTGCGCGAGGCCGCGGCGGGCAGCGGCTGCGCGCGGGGGCGCGCGGGCCTGCCCACATCGCCTGCGGCGCGCCGCGGCGCGCGCGAGCCAAACGGCGGCGCGGCGACTGCTCGCGCCTGCGTCCGCCGCGTGCGCCTGGGGCCAGCGAGTGTGCGCGATGGAACCAGAGGCCGAACTCGTTCCATACAAATATCAGTGGATCTGATTGTGAGTGAGTCAGTGAGTGAGACTGAGAGTTAGTGAGTCTCAGTATGAATAATCCGAGGGTTAGCTCAATGTTCTGCCTGTGAGTGAGTTTTGAATCTGAGTGAGCCTGAGTGTGAGTGAGTCTGGGTATGAGTGAGCTAAGTGTGATGGAAGGAAGGTTGAGGCGGGGTGAGGAGCCAAAGAGGTCACACTGATGGAGAGAAATGAATTTGCAGTATAGCTGCGAACTGATTTTTTTGTGACAAGTCACAACGCCTCAAGGAAACTCCGAATTCTGCGTCCGCTTGCCTGCTCTTGCCCTCGGGTTTCACCCTGGAGGTAGTATTAAGAGAGGCCTCAACCAAGGGGGTGGATTATAGACTAACGAGGGCGGATGTGCATGAAAGAGGTACACGAGAGATCATGACACGCGAGAAAGCAAGGGCGACTGATCATAAAAAGTATCGTCGTGGTGGCAGGCGTCGTCGTCGTCGGCGTCGTCGTCGACGTCGTCGACGTCGTCGTCGTGGTTGTCCTCGTCCTCGTCGTCGTCGTCTTTTCCGCCCTCGCCATTGTCGCCGCCGCCGTCGCCGTGGGCACGTGAACCAGCCCCAGGGGCGGGCCGAAATCTAAAGAAACAAAAAAAACGATGGAACCACGAGTTCGTCCGAGATCTGGGTCGGCGTCGTCGTCATCGCTCGTCGCTCGTATCTCGTCGTCGTCGCTCATCGCTCGTCGCTCGTTGTCGTCGTCGTCGTCGCGCATCGTCGTCGCCGCTCGTCGTCGTCGTCGATCGTCGTCGCTCGTCGTCGTCGCTCGTCGTCGTCGCTCGTCGTCGCCCGTCGTCGTCGCCGCCCGTCGTCGTCGCCGCTCGTCGTCGTCGTCGCCGTCGTCTCCTTCGTCGTCGTCGCCAAGGGCCATGGGCCAGGGGAGCATGCCCCGAGAGGCCGAGAAACGCCAGGGGGAGGCCGCCGCAGTCTCCAACGGCCCCCTCTCGGGGACCCAAACTGACACGGGGCCCATCCAGACCCTGGGCCAGTCAGGCTCTGCAGGCTCCAGCAGAAACAAGGGCTCCCAACTTCGCGCTTCGCGCTGCGCGGAGCGCGAAGTGCGAAGAACTTCGCGCCCTCGCGCCGCCTCCCAGGGGAGAAGCGGACGATGAGGAGGAATCGGAACCGAACGGCGAAGCGCGAAGAACTTCGCGCCCTCGAGGGCGCCCTTGAAACACCGTGGAGGATCCCGAGCGGCAGGATCCCGAAGACTCAGGCGCTCCGACGGAAACCCCGCTTGCATGGACCCCCACGAGCCCTCCCCCCCGACCCCGACCCGTGCGGCCCCGTCACCCCTGCGACCCGTGCGGCCCCCTCCCCCCTGCGACCCCTCCCCCCCTGCGACCCCTCCCCCCCTGCGACCCTTCCCTTGAGCCCCAAGCCTTGCGACCCCGAAGAGAACCAAAAGGTTCCGATACCACTACCCGGCCCGGACCTCTCTCGGGGTGCGTTGTGACCAGAACTTCGTGGCGAACCCAGCGGTGGCGACGAGGGCCGCCCAGGAGTTCCAAAAAGGGGAAAACTGGCGGAGGGTAGAGGTATGGGTACCTTTTCCTCCTCTGACCGACCCGGGGTGCGTTGTGACAAGAATTTCGTGGCGAACCCAGCGGTGACGACGAGAGCCGCCCAGGGGGCCCAAAAAGGGGAAAACGGGCAGAGAAGGAGGAGGAGAAGGAGGAGGAGGAGGAGGAGGAGAAGGAGGTGCAGAAGGAGGAGGAGGCAGGAGGCACGAGAAGGGGGCTCCTGGGAGCGCCTGGGAGCGCCTTTTCCTCCTCGGACGACCTCTGCGACCCCTCCCCCCCCTCGCCGGGAGGCGACGCGGCTGCCACGCCCCAGGCACCCGCGGCGCCACCGCCAGAGAGCGGCGAGGCCGCGGCGCCTCCCGGCGTCGTCGCCTCGGGGAGAGGCCTCCCCTCCATGTCCTCCTCCTCCTCCTTTTCCTCCTCCTCCTCCTCCTCCTCATCCTTCCTCTCTTCCTCCTCCTCCTCCTCCTCCTCCTCCTCCTCCTCCTCCTCCTCCTCTTGCTCCTCCTCCTGCTCCTCCTCCTCCTCCTCCTCCTCCGCCGTGGCCGCAGCGATATCCCGCGAGCGGCCCCCCGCAAGCGAAGGGAGGTTTTGCCTGTGACCAGCTGGGACTTTCCGTGCCCCGCCCCATCTTGCTCCCTCCTCCTCCTCCTCCTTCAACTCCTCCTCCTGCTCCTCCTCCTCCTCCTCCTCCTCCCTCCTCCTCCTCCTCCTCCTCCTCCTCCTCCTCCTCCTCCTCCTCCTCCTGCTCCTCCTCCTCCTCCTCCTCCTCCTCCTCCTCCTCCTCCTCCTCCTCCCCTCATTCCTCCTCCACCTCAGGCTGAGAAGCAGCGCCTGCAGGCTGAGTTGCAGGCCGACAAACCGCTGGAGGCCAACTTGCAGGGGCTTACCAGCCAGCTCAAGACTGCTCGCACGAAGCTGTCCAATCTGGCTGTCAAAAAGGAGGCTGCTCGCTCTACCCTGGAGAAGGCCAAGCAGGCCCTTGCGCAGGTCGAGCAGGACGAGCAGGACGCTAACAAGCACATCGTGGAACTTGAGGAGCGGTTGCGCCATGTGGTCGTCCCTGCCGTGCAGTTTGATGACAAGGCACCTTCCCTGTCCACCTTCCTGCCAGGCATGGAGGCCACGGTCGAGCAGTTCGACGCCGTTGTCCGTGCGTTGGGCGGGTCGGAGCGGTTCAGCACCGACCTCATCGCCATGCGCGCGCTGGTTCAGAAGCTCAAGGAAGCCCCAGAGGCCACTGCTGCACCCGAACCGTCTGCTCCACAGCCTGAGGCTCACACCGCTCCTCCTGAGGCTCGAGCACCCATGGACGTCGACGATGCTGAGGATCAGGCTCGTGCTAATGCTCACGTTGATGGCCTGGATGGTCACACATGCCGTGAACATCTCAAAGAATGTGGCATTGATGTCGACGTGGGCGGTGAAGACGACGAGCTTGATGAGCCCAAGGTGCGAGAGCTTCGTGATAAGCTCAAGCGTCACTTGGCACAAGTTCAATCGCTCACGAAGAAGTTCAAGACCAGTGGCAAGACCGCTGCGTAAAGTGATTGGGTGGTTCGCTGTGGTTTTGTTCTGTCTATGCCATTACCCTAGTGCAATGACGACGCCCACTGCCCAAGATGAGCTGACCTCAGCTCCCAGACGTTCTCTCATGGACGATCCTGATGCTGATCCTTTTGAATTTGATGAAGCATCTGACAGTCAGCCATATCTGCCAGTCACATGCGACCAGGTTGCCCCTTCTGCGTCTTCTGCAAGGGCGGCCACTGCGACTGCGGGTGCTACGTCATCGTCTCGGTCGCTACACTCACCTGTCACCAGGTGGCAGGCAGAGAGCGCCACATGTGCGCCTATTGCTTTGACGATATCGGCCTCTTGCTCGACGAGGGTGGCTGGCTCTACTGCTGGTTGTTCCGATGGCATGAATCTTTTAGGCCCTGGCAGCACGCACTGCTCACCCCGCTCGCCCGATGGGCAATGCGTGGCAGAGGGTACCGACTGCCCAGGGGTTCGTCGACCTGATGTCAAGGTTGCTGGCCAGGCGAAGGGCAAAAGCGACTCGTATATCGTGACGCTCAACTCCAGCTCGCTGGGTCCACTGTGCGACTACCTTGTGGACAGCACTGATCATGTGGTGCTTGCGCAAGAGCACCATGTTCCTGATACCAAGCTTGGCGAGCGACAGTCGCAAGTTGAAGATACTGGCTGGAGAGGGCTCTGGGGCCCCGCCGTGCCCAATCAGGATGGAGGGCCTGGCACCACAGGCGGCGTTGCAGTTTTGGTCAGGTCACATATTCCTATCAAGGCGCCCCCTGGCTGCGCTAGTCACGTCCTTGTCCCTGGCAGGCTTGTGGCTGCACACGTCATGTCTTTTCTGCCTGGCGGTGTCGTCTTCCTGTCGGCTTATCTCAAGGACGGCGAAGGATATGGACCGTGCAACGCCGAGTTGGTGTGGGAGATTATCGAGTACCTCTCAGTGCTCAACGGCATGCAGATCCCGTGGGTCATCGGCGCCGATTTCAACATGCCGCTCGCTGCCCTGGACCAGTCCGACTGGATCGCGGCTGCTGGCGGACTGGCTTTCGTTTCTGAGGCGCCCACCTGCAGGCAGGTTTCACCTGGCACGCACATCGATTATTTTATTTGTAGCAGTTGGCTTGCGCCAAAGCTTAACCCCCGCACGTGTGTGTTGGAGGCTGCTACCACCTACCCTCACCTCCCCGTCCAGCTTACTTTGAGGGCTCGGGAGGCCCCGGTTTGGGCTCGGGTGGCCAAGGTCCCGAAAGCGTTCCCGTCTACCCCTCCCATAGGCTGTGCTAGACCTCCTATCTACCCGTGGCACGCGGTTTTGTCGACCGCCGCCCCGCAAGTCGATTCTGTAGCCAAGGTCGCCGATTTTTGGGACCTCGTCCTCGAAGGGGTGGAAAGAGAGTTGGCTGCCAGGTGGGACCGTGTTGGCTTAGCCGCCGGGGCCTACGTTGGCCGCAGCGGGCCTCTGGAGGTCCACTTCAAAAAGCTTGTCTGGACTCCCCCCAGAAGGAGGACTTATAAGGATCCGCAGGCACGTGCCTGGGCTGTCGCTCTTGGTTGGGCCAAACACTTAGGCAAGGCCAGAGAACATCTTAGTGAGCAAATTAGGCTAATGCAAGAAAACGATGCTCTGTGTTCGCTTGCGCCCCTGCAATATCGCAAGCTTCTCACTGCATTTGATGTGTTCGATCGTTTTATGGCCAACATCGCCCGCTGCAAAAAAGTCTTGGGTTGCCTCGACTCGGATGTGCGAGATTTCTTCAATAGCGGCCTCGCCGTCCTCGCACGTCCTGATGTGGCCAGCATGCTCACTACTATTTACACTCGTGCGAAGGCAGCTGTCACTCGTGCGGAGAATGCGGCGTCCCAGGCTTGGAGGCAATGGGCTAGGGACGCCTTTTCTGCTGGTGCTTCGAAGGCTCACAGGTTCTCAAAAGTGAAGGCCATCCAAGAGGTTTTAAGCAACCAGGCGCGAGAGGCACCCCACCAGCAGGCCGATGCTGAACTTGAACCCTGGAAGGAGGTTTGGTTGACCCACGGCTGCTCCGCTCTTGAGTCTCCCCGAGGGTCCACCAGCTGGCCCATGCTGCCGCCCATCACGGCCGCTCAGGTGGAGGATGCTGTTCACACTTACCCCACTCGCACTGCTGGAGGCATGATGGGTATTCATCCGAGAGCTTTAATCCATTTGCCTAGGCCGGCCTTTTCGGCGATTGCTGAACTCTTTAACCTGTGCGAGCTGCACTTAGCCTGGCCTAGAGAGCGTGTCTGTAATGAGATGTGCCGTCTTGCCAAACCAGATGGTGGGACTCGTCTGATCGCTCTCGTTTCGCTGCTGTGCCGTGTCTGGGGCAAAGTTCGCAAGCCCATCACCTTCGACTGGCAAGAGCGCAATGACTGCTACGCTGTTTGGGGTACTCGTCGTGGGCACAGTTCCTCAGACAGTGTTTTTGCCCACAACATTGCTGCCGAAATGGCAGCGCTAGTCGGTGATATTTCAATATCTGTCCTCTTAGACATGATCAAATGCTTCGAAATGGTTCACTCGGAGCAGCTGTTGAAAGAGGCTGAAGCGTTACACTTTCCAATGCGGCTAGCTTGGATGCTGGTGGATCTGTACAGGCAGCCACGGCGTCTTCGAGCTTTCGGCAGCTTGTCGCTGCAGTTCTGTTCGCATCAAGGCATCCTTGCTGGGTGCAATCATGCGACAGGCATGCTTTTCCTTCTCACGCTGCGTGCTGCGCGTAGACTCAATGACATTTCGCCCTGTATAACACCGAGAGCCCTCGTCGACGACATCTCGATTCAGCTCGTCACCTCGGATCCTCGTGATGTGCGTTTCCTGGAGCGTGCCGTGAAAGTGTTCAACGAAGATGCCAAGGTTCTCGGGCTTTACTCCCAGGTCAAAAAGTCGGGGCTCATAGCAGGGAACAAGGTTGCTCGGAAGGTTTTCTCGAAGATGGCTATTCGGCTGCATCTACCTGTTCGTAAATGGATGAGAAATCTCGGGCATGAATTAGCTGCTGGTCGGGTTGTTCGCACTCAGGAGAAGAAAAGGCTACATGCTCTTAAACGTCGCCGTGACAAGTTCATTGCACTGAAACATGCAACTGGCAAGCGTGCAACCCGACTTCGGAGGACTGGAGCTTTCCCAGCGGCTGGGCACGGTGGTTCCGTGTCGGGCATTTCAGACACGGCGCTGAAGTATTTGAGGCAGCTTGCGGCTACGATCGCAGGTGCCAAGCAGCACGGTGGCATCACGTCGTATCTGCTGACGCAGGCCGATCCGCTATACGACCCGATCTACGACTCCACTATTTGCGTGTGTGTCAAGTTCGCCACGTTCGTCTGGGACGGAAGGGTTCAGATATCGAGGCTTCAACGTGCGTGGACCTGGTTGAGAGATATCATGTCCGACAACCCTACTTGGCAGCAGGCTCGTGGTCCGCTGTCGGCGGTGTGGCTCAGCCTGCTTCGCATAGGCTGGACGATGGTCAATGCCCACACTTTTCGCAGCGATCGTGGTACAGATATTTCGCTGCTGGTGGTGTGTCCCAGTGATGTGCGAATTGCGATTATCGAAGGGGTGCAGCGGTGGCAGATACGTCGGTTGCAGCAGCACCTCTATAACACTGACCCTCCAGAAGGGGAGCCTTGGTTTCGTGCACTTCGTCATGGTATACGTGCCGTAAAAGACCCGCGTGCTCTTGGGGCCCTTGCTGCCGTCTGGGGGAATGTGGTTCCGCTACCTGCTGCACTGTCTGCTCTGCAATATGATGGGCTACCTGAGTGCCGTGCCTGCTCCGCTCCTCAAGGCACGTACGGACACGTGTGGTATG